CCCTTTTGATGTTGCAGACATGGGTTTGATGATGGTGTTGTCCCCTTCAGAATTTCTGTCTTGATCTTCACTCTTCTCCTAATATGAATCTATCATATGTTTCTTTTTACTCATGGTGTTTCTTTATTCCCTGGCCTTTAAAGAGATTAAGCTCTCCTGCTGGGGAGCAGAGGGCACCCCCCCAAGCTTCTTGTGTTGGGAGCCTAGGTCTTGGTCACTGGCTTTGGGTGCTGGGACCCTTATGTTGGCTATTGGAGGCCGTAGGGTTCCGGCAGCTTACCTGGTGTTGGGCTGGAATCAGGAAGGCTGGAACTTTCAAGGAACTCTAGGTTGCTTTCTTTAGCTCCTTTCAGATGAATGCTGCAGGGTGCTTATCTGCCTCGGGCCCTTTGTAGTGCTGCTTCCTTTATTTTTGCTGAGGCACTGGGAGACCCATTTGCTGTAGAATGCTGAGGCACCAGAATCTCGTCCTGGTGTGCTAAAGTGGGTCTTTCCACTAGCTAACTGGGCGACTCCAATTTCGTACTGCTCCCCATCCCCCAGGGTAAGAGGGGCCTTTCCCATTAATCCCTTTAGCTACCTGGAGTACTGCACTGCTGCTCCCCATCTTTCTTCTGGTTCAGCTGTTCGAGGGTTTTTTCTGCAGTGGTATTTTCTGGGTTTTCAGAGGTTGATAGAGGAGGGTGAGAGTAACTACCTTTTTACTCTGCCATCTTGGCTCCCAGAAGCAGAAGTCCCTTAATTATAATTCTTTAATTGCATTCATTCAACCAGCTTAGGAATCCACATCTTTAACTTGTTCGAATATATAGCATGAAAGAATTTATCAAATACTTTGCTAAAAATCTAGGCAGACTATAGCTGCAGGAATTTTCTCACTTACCCATCTAGCAACTGTCATTTAAAAAAATTAATATATGATCTATTGTTGATGACCACACTAGCGTTTTGCAATCATCGCCTCATTTAATGAACATTTATTAACAATCTCTTTAATGATGTGTTCTAGAATTTCACTGAAATTGAATTGTTTATACTAGGATAAAGTTTGCAAATTCCATTTTCTTATCATTAAAAAAAATTAAAACATGTTCCTTTCTCAAATCTGTAGCATCTCAACTGCTATCCATTCTCTTTCAAAGATCACTAACAATAGTTGGTTCATTAATGACATTTGTCAGTTCTTTCAGTATCTTAGGATATAGATCATTTAGGCCTAATTATTTGAACTCATTAAGGACTAGTGGGTATGCCTTATCTAGCTTCATATCTTTCTTTTGACCCTCTATTAGTCACTTATTTTCTCATCTTTTCCAGGTTACAATTAATGTACCAGGTAAAAAAATATAAACAAAATAATAATTTAGCTCCTTTTCCTTTTTTCCTGCAATCCATCATCAACCCATCATCCCCTAAAATCAAAAGTATATAATGATCCTATTACTTGTTCTTGATCATATCTATCATATGTCAAATATATCATATATGTGTGTCTAAGTGCCCACTATGTGCCAGGCACTACATTATGCACTGGCGATACAAATAAGTAAAGAAAGACAGACCTTGCCTTCAAGAGGCTTATAATCTAATAGGGAAAGAGAGCACACAAAAATTAAACTTCATTTGAATTGAGGTCTTCTTGATTTCTGATTCAGCTCTATGCCAGGCTTTTTATCATCTTTCTAATTTCTGTATCTATTTCCTCTTTATATCTAGGTGATCTATTGTTCACTCTAATTATAACATTAGTTCTCTTTTTGCTTCTTCTGGTCTTCATTCAAATTCTCTACATCTTGATTTGCCATTTTGGTTTTTGAATTTCCTCACAATAAATATATTGCATTAATATGCACTTATAGTCCAATTACTACTTTTTCAATTTTTACCTATTTCTTTTGAATAAGATATGTTTTCTCCAAAAATGGTCTATTTATGAGTCTCATCCCATCATGTCTCAGTGGTACCAATGAGGTCAAATTTGCCTCCTTGGAAAAAGAACTTTAGTAAACCCTTTCAAACACCTTTTCCTTCTCTTCCAGGAGGGAGAAAAGAAATGTCCATATAGACAAAGACATTTACAGCCTCTAAGCCCAACATACACCCATCATTTTTACATTCATACTAACATTCATATTTCAATAAATCCATTTTCTCATGGGTAAGATTATTCTAATAAGGAGCTAAGTGGTTTAGTGGACAGAGGACTGGACTTCAAATCAAGAAGATTTGAGTTTGAACCCTGCATTTGATACTTATCAGCAATTCACATTACAACTCTCATCTTCACTCCTCATCTATAAAATGAGGATAATAATAATATCTACCTCACAGAGTTCTTGTAAAGAACAAATAAGGTAACATAAGTAAACACTTTGCAAAACTTAAAAAACAGTTTATAAACAGGAGCTAAAATTACCTGCTCTATAAGTACAGATAATCATCAAGAACTACACAACATAGCTTTCTCTGGTTCTTTTATGACTATATGGTTGCCAGTGCAACAGTAGGGCAATTCAGCTGTTTTTCTTCCCTTTCACTGCCACTGCATAACCAGCCCAATTATATACATATACATATATATGCATATATATGTATATATGTGTACATATATATATGTATATGTAAATATGTTTGTATGTAAGTATGTATGTATGTATGTATATATGCATATCCCTCTAATATATCTTTTTCATTCCTTCTCATGTCAGAGGTATTGTTTGTAGACTACATACACCCACCCTATATCTTTCCCTGCACCTATAGGTCACTTATAATACATTTTTTTTTGATACCATTGTGTTCCATGATTCATTACCACACAGCATCACTCAAGGTCATATCTCTGAGGGACTGTTGTATAATCTTAACAAATGCGTAGGTGATATCTTATTTGATGAAAGTCTTGAAAGCTTCAATCAGCTCCACAGAGTCAAATGTTCTTTTTTATCTTTTTTTAATCAACAATAGATAGTGGGATCTTTCAGTCATTCCTTTATGGCTCACTCAATTGTATGACTGTGAAGATGTGCTCTGCTACTGAGAACCATCCCACATATTCATCACTAAAAACCTTGATGCATGCAAAGATTAATCTTGTGAAGATTTTATAAACTAAGTATTCAGTCAGAGGTCCAGCATAGATAAAAGCACAAATTCTTCTCACCAGGAAGCTGTTTATAAAATTCATGAGATGAACCTTCTGGTTACTATGACCCAGCAAATAGACAAAAATACTAAATGACCCATAGTCCTGTGTGGTCCCTTTTGCTTTTGCAGTGATAGTAGTATTATGTGCTCAGAGAGCACAAAGAATCATGATTTTTAGACTGCCTACAAACATTAATTTTGCAACTCAGACTTTAAGATTGAATTCTTTGTCCAATGATGAACAAGTGGATCTAACACTGAAGGAACTGAATCACATTGATATTGAGTTTACTGATAAGTAGTCTTGAAATATAAAAGAGATATAATAAATAATTTTGGTCAAGAAAGGAGAAAGCAGTGCAAATTAGATTGCAATTTGTGTTACCCAACTGAATATCCCCCAACTTTCTTTTTTCATGATGAAAAAGCCACTTCCAGCTTACTTTCTAGAAAATTACATGATTAGTTTTAAAATAATAGTAATTGACATTTATTTAGCACTTTAAAATTTTCAAGGCATTTTTATCATTTGAGTTTCACAATAGCACCAAGAGATAAGTACTACTGGTATCAGGATGCCCTTTTTCTAGCTGAGAAAACTGAGGTTCAGAGAACTTAAATGATTTACCAGAGTCACATAGCTAGTACCTCTACTAGAAGAATTTGAACCCACTCTCTCTCCTCACTCTCTCCACTATTCAACATTGCCTCTATACGCTATAATGTTAATTTATACTTGTATAGCATAATTAAAACATATTTATATAACACTTTATAGTTTAAAAGTACAATCGCATATTTTATTCTATTCTCAACTTTACAGAGGAAAAAAAATTGAGATTCTGAATAAGTGACTTCTCCAAGATCACCTGCTAGTTTAGGCAAAGGCCAAATTTGAAACCAGTTTTCTTTCTGTGATTTCATTTCCACTATTTCCAATATTGTATCCTAGTATGGTACATTAGGGTATTGAAAAAAGAAGATAGTTATTGTTGAAGCAATAAGGATTAGGTGCTACTTCCCCATAAGTTCATGTGAAAAGGGTCAAGAATAGATATGTAGATTTGAGAATAGTGAGTGAAACCACATGAGTGAATGAGACAGCCAAAAAAGAGCATAGGGTGAGAAGAAATGGCCCTAGAAGTCAAAAGGAGGAAAATGTGCCATAAATAACCAAAAGCCAGAATAACCAATAGGGCACAGTATAACAGATACAAAGAGAGTACTAATGAGATAGTGGTCAACAGTATAAAATACTTCAGAAAAGTCAAGAAGGAATGAGGAATGATAATGCAACAAGTTCAACAGGTACCTTGTTAAGCACCTACTATGTGCAAGATGCTAGGAATACCAAGAAAGAGTCCCTGCCCTCAAGGGGCTTATATTATACTAAATGAAATAAACATGTTCTGTAGTAGATATAACATACATGCATACATAGGTATACACAAATTTACATATATAATTAATACAAAGTAATTTCAAAGAGAGAGCTAACTGGGCAGATTAGGAAAGGGCTCACATAAAAGGTGGCAGTTAAGCTGTAATGCAGCAAGGTAAAGATTCTATCAGGTGAGGAAAGTATATGTGGGGGATCACTTTTTATAGAATCATTGTGGCCAGAGACAAAATGTCATACCTGGGAATGTATGTTCAGGTTGACTAACAGGAGGAGGATTTGACTAGAATGAGGCACACACAAATAGGAGATCTTGGACTTGTACTATTAGTATATGCTTTACTTTTAACTAGAAGCTTGCCATTTATTTTGTTCTAAATGTTCATGGTACCAGGACATGTTGAATTTTATTGGTCAAAATTAAATTATTATAGTACTTCTACTTTTTACTTACATTGGAAGAGACTCTATATGGAGGAGAGCACTGATATATTCGATTAGATTTCTCTATGCTGTTTGGACACGGTTTTGTGGCATGCCTTTTGCCCCGTCCATCAGATCGACTTGCCATGTCACAGCCATTGTTGTTGAAGATTTGGTCCTTAAAAAGTGGGTAGCATGCATGAGATACCAACCTAAGCAGATAAAATAAAACAACTGGTTGTAAAAGTTTCTATGCATCTAATATAAAAAATATGCATTGTGAAATTTTGCATACAGAAAAACTTTACATGCTAAGGTATTTGAAAATGCTATTTTCAAAACATCTGATGTGAGTCATCTAGGTTAATTATCCCCTTGCCTTATCATCATGAAGTCACTCAGCATATATATAATATATAATATAATATATAACATGGAATTTGCTAAAGATAATTTTAGAAAAAAAGTTGGCAGCCAATAGATTTACAATGTTATCATGAGGATTAGTCCCCCTGGCTCCCAACATAGGTGTCACCATTGACTCCACACTCTCTCTCACCCTACATCCATATCCAATCAGTAGTCAAATCCTGTCATCTCTGCCTTCATAACATCTGTCATATAATGATCAATAATATTAACATTTATATAGCACTTACTATGTGCTAAGCACTATGCAAAGTTCTTTACAATTATTATCTCACTTGATCCTTACAACAACCCTGAAAGGGAGGTTCTATTATTATCTCCATTTTACAGATGAGGAAACTGAAGCAGAGGCTAAGTGACCAGTGCTCTACCCACTCCATAGATAGATGATAGATAGATAGATACACACATGCACACCATACACACACACACACACACACACACACACACACAGAGATAGATACATGTATATATACTTTTTTCTCTCTTCTTTCATTGACAACTGAAACAAGCCTCATCACTTCATGCCTGGTTTATTGTAGTAGCCTGCCGGTTGATCTCACTGCCTTAAATCTCTCCCTACTCCAGTCCATATACCTATCAAATCATTACTCTATTCAATCAACTCTATTGGCTCCCTATCACCTCCTGGATCAAGTATAAAATCATCTGTTGATAATCAAATCCTTTCATAACTTTGCATTTTTCTACCTTTCTTGCATTTTACTTCTCTCCACATACTGTGGCCAGTGATACAGGTCTCCTTTCTGTTCTTTGTACATGATCCTCCATCTCCTAACTCTAGGCATTTTCACTGACAGTCCTCCATGCTTGGAATCCTCTCCTTCTTCGTCTTCACCTTCTGCCTCTCTGATTTCCTTTAAGTCCCAGCCAATGGCCCAACTTCTACAAAATGTCTTTTTAGTCCTCCCTTAAACTTAGTCTCTTTCCTCTGAGATTATCCCCAATTTATTTCATCTGTATTTTGTTTGTCCAGAGTTGTTTGGGTGCTCTCTCCTCCATTAGACTATGAACTTCTTGAGAGAAAGGAGTGCTTTTTTTTTTGTTTGCTTCTTCTTTACCTTTTTTTGTATCCTTTGTGCTTAGCATAGTGCCTAACAGACAATAGATGCTAAAATGTTAATTGACTGTATGATTTCTGGATATGCAATTATATAGAAGAAGCAAATTTGACATGAAAGAGATGATGAATTGGATTATTCCCCAAAGCAATATTCTGATAAGTTATGGCATCTCTAAAATTAAGCTATTTTAATATTTTATCATTTTACAGAGCTCTCATTAGAATTAAATTGTTAAAGGTCTACAATTCATAACACTTTATGTGGAATATCACAACACTAATACAAATATTAAAAGGGAAAATGAAATAATACAAAGCCAAATATTACCCAAAATTTGTAAAAGTGATCTTGTCTTCCATATAATATGGGGTCCAAAGATTGATGACAGAGTGAACAGAATGAATTTGGAGTGTCTAGTTACAGATAATCAAAATTAATAAATAATGATAATAAAATGGTGATAAACTATTTTAATAATAGCAAGTATTTATATAATATTTTAAGGTTTGCTAAGCACTTTATAACTATTTCTTCTTTGATGCTCACACTAACCTTGGGGGGTAGAATTTACTATATCTCCATTTTACAGATGAGGAAACTGAAGAAAACAGAAATTAAGTGACTTGTGAAGGGTCACACAGCTAGGAAGTATCTGAAACTGGATTTGAATTCAGTACTTCCTGACTCCAAGTCAAACATTCTATTAACCGTACCGTCAAACTGCCTTTCAAATTGTCTAGATCACAGTTCCTTGGAAATAAAATAATCAAACAGAATAGGGGAAAATTTGAACCCAAAGGAACAAATGATGTCTGGGAGTTCCAAAAAAAGTTTTATCTTAATTTTGTTTTTTGAAACTTGAGAGATAACAGCTGATAGCAACTCAGGTAAGAACTTTCATTTTTACGATAGGACATAGACAGCTACATGGTACAGTGGATAGAGCACCAGGCCTGAGTCAGGAAGGAAATGGCAAATCGCTTCAGTTATCCTTGTCAAGAAATTCCCAAAAGGGGTCACAGAGAGGCAGACACTACTCAAACAACTGTACAATAACAACAAAATAGGAATGTCATCATGATCCCTGCTAATGCAGAAAGTCATATATAAACTCATGTGGCACTGATGTCCTCAGGACCAATAGGAAATGGATGACGTGATTTTAAAAATAAAATAAAAAGGCACAGAGGCTTACTGCCATCTCTGAAAATGTCTCCCCACACACCTACCCCTCCACATAGAACATACAGCCCAGGTTAGTCATTAGCTGACTCATGGTCTTCAGGGAAAGATGAAAAGACTTAAAATAATGCCACCTGTGAGCTTTGCCTGCATCATTTAAAAACAAGCCTTTGCTTCTTCCAAATTGAACACTGTAGCTGTTTAGCAGATTATCCATCAAGTTAGAAACAGGAAATGCTTGACTATGCATGTGCTTAAAGAGCAGGGCAGCCCACTTTTGTCACATTAACATTATCAAAACCAAAAATGAACACATGGGCCTCCAATTGTGTTAATAAAGTAGATATCAGTTTAAATTAAAAAAAATCAGATACATTAATCAGATTTTAATCTGTCATACTGTGCTGGTAGATCTGAAGTATCATAAATTTAGAGCTAGAAGGTACCTCAGAAGTTATTTATTATAACCCTCTCATCTTAAAGTTGAAGAAATTGAGTAGTGGAAGTTTAAGCAACTTTTCCAAGACAATAGACATAGTCACCATCAGAAACAGGATTTGAACCCAGATCTTCTAAGCCCAGTGGCAAGACTTTTTCCACTGTACACACTGAGGGGTAAAATAGCTAAGGAATCTGAAAAGTGACAATAGAAAGAGATCTACAACTTCTTTTGCTCTGAGTTTCTCCACAGGAGGTACTCAGTGTTCCCCTATGTTTTGCTTTGGCAAGCCAAGGGCAAAATCTTGTAAGAGGCAACTAGGTGGCACAGTGAATAGAATAATGGACCTAGAGTCTTGAAGACTGGCCTCATACTTTTACCAGCTGTTGACTCTGGGCAAGTCATTTAGACTAGGTCTATCTCAGTTTCTGTAGCTAGAAAAAGGGAGATAATAACAGCACCTACCTCCCAGGGTTATTGGTTATTGTGAGTCTCAAACGAGATAATATTTGCAAAGCACATAACCTAGTGCCTGTCATACAGTAGGCACTTGATAAATATTTCTTTCCCTCTTCCTTGAAAGATGACATAAATGGAGAAAGAGGGAAAAATGAGGGGAAAAGAAGAATAAAGGAAATAGCAGTTGGATGGGGAAGAAGAAAGGAAGGAAGAAAAAGAAGGAAAGATGAAGAGATGGGAGAAAGGAGAGGGGAAAGGAAGGAGTGAAGTTAAGAAAAAAAGGAAGGAGGAGAGATATCAGGAAGGGAGAGGAGGAGTCAAAAAAGGAATACTGGAGTCCTGACAATGGAACACTGATAAGCCATCGCCATATCATGGTCCTTGTGGGACAAGGTACAAAGGAAGGGAATCAGTCAAACAATCGATAAGCATTTATTAAGTGCCTACTCTTTGGCAGGCTTTATGTTAGGCACTAGAGATTCAAAAAACAAAAAAGAAAACAGGGATGAAATGACATTATTAGGAAAACAGTCACAGAATTTTAGAGTTGGAAGGGACCTTAGTGGCTATCTACTCCAAAAATAAACAAGAGAAGAGGATATTCAGGAAGTGGTCATCTGCACTCTACTTGACAATCTTTAATGAGGAGAAAGTGACAACCTCTAGAGGCAGCTCATTCTACTTTTGGACAGTTCAGTTAAGAAGTTGTGTTTTTATTTTTTTTCTGACATCAAATCTAAATCTGCCATTTTGCAACATCCACCCACTGCTCCTTGGTCTGCTTGCTGAGGCTGAACAAAATAAAGCTAATCATTACAATACTTTAAAATAACTATCATATTACCTCTGAGTCATCTCTTTTCTAAACTTCTTTAAATTCTCAACTAATCTTCATATATCAGGGATTAATAAGGTCTTTTGTTATCTTAGTTTCCTAACTGTAACACCTCTCGAGCTTATTAAAGCCATTCCTAAAAGTTGGCATGAAGAGCAGAACACAATACTCTAGATGGATTCTGACCAGAGCAGAGTACAATAGAATCATCATCTCCTTATTCTTCTTAATGCAACCTAAGAAAACGTTAGCTTTTTTTTGCTTGCCATTACTGAGTCACATTGAACTTGTAGTCCACTATCTATAACCCCCAGATTGTTTTTTCAAAATGCTAAGTATGCCTTCCTATCTTTTACTTCTGAAGTCATTTTTCTGAACCCATGTATGACTACAATTGTCCTTATTAAAATTATTTTATTACATACTGCTAAATATTCCAGTATATCAACATTGTTTTTTGTATATGAACTTCATCATCTGTGTCAGCTACCTTTCCCAAGTTTGTGTAAAATGCAAATTTGACAAGTGTGTCATCTATGTCTTTTTCTCCAAGTCAACAATAAAAATGTTAAATAGTAAGGAAAGACTATGTGTGCTAATGGAGACTTCCTACCAAGATGACATGGACCCATTTAATGATTACCCTTTGAGGATAGTCCTAAAACCAGTTATAACTGTACTATCACCTGGCCCACATGTCTCTATCTTTCCCACAAAAAATAGCATGACATCTTTATCAAATGATTTACTAGGTAATTAGGTGACCCAGTAGACAGAGTGCTA